GACCCTTTACCTCTTAGCTAAGATGAAGTATAAAAATTAAAAGAAATTTAATTTATTAGGTTGGCAGGTTATACAAGCTTATAATTCTATAACTAGGAATATTGACTCAGGAGGATTCTGGATGAACCATGTTAGTTTCAACTAAATAGTGAGACACTGTACAGACACACACACACACAGAGCGGGGGAGCAAAATAGTTTTACTTAAAATAAAAAGTGAAGCTTGTTAACTGGATCCCAACAAAAACGTAACATTTACATGTCTACTTACAGGATTACAGGCAAACTCAGCACAAAACTTAAGTTTTTCTCTGTAAAGCACCTTAAATTTATTTTTTATGTAAAAGTACGTTTTTTTTCCTTATGGAAAAACTGTTTAATGGGACAAAATTATAAATGTGTTCTAGTTTAAAAAATAAAAAGACTTCCTGTAATTTCAAAGTGCAATTACAGCATATGGAAAAAAAACAAATTTTTAATCCTTCTTCACAGAACTTCTTGTTTTTGTTAAACAATTGGACACAATTTATTTTACTAAAGTAAAGCGTGGAATCTGACAGTTATTTAAGATCTTTATCTTTGTGGTTATTGAACAACAACAAGCAAATAAAACCAGAATCTTTCAGAATTTTAATTTCTGAATTAAAATTAAAGACAAATGACTTAGCTAAAACTTTCAAACTCCAAGTAAGCCAAAAGTTGTAATTAGACTGTAAAGTGATGCTAAGTTTATCAATATGAAATAATTTTCTTCCATATCCCAATGATGATGTAGCTCTTTTCTTGTCCTTACTATGAATACAGAGTAATTACAAAAGCACTTGAAGTAGCTGAAGCCCATCAAACTTTGCCCTTATTTTAACACTTATGAAACAATTGAGTTTGTAGCTATAAACTTAGTACTTTGCTGAAGTGTTTAAGCACCCTTCTTTACTAACATGAAAATAGCCTTTGCTATTTCCCTTTCCTCAGGGAAGTTCACAGCTAAGTTCTATATGAAAGGATCGTGCCCTGGGTTTTTTGTACTCAGTATAGTAAGAAATTCTTCTATACATCAGAACGGCCTCTGGAGTTCCTTCCACTCCCTCTGTGGCTGCACAAAGCTACTGTGCACAATGCTTCATTGTGTGAGCCTGTTATATACAGAGAGGATAACTGGAGTAAATAACCTCTTCACCTAAGGTTGCTAGGGATGAAAGAAAGGGACCACTTTCCTTGTTTAATACATGAAATTAAGAGAATATAAATCCTCAGAACCAAGCAGATACCATAATAAAAAGGTTATATATCAGACAGCCTACTTACTTTCATGCTGTTTAATATTTTCCCATTGCCTACTGAGCACAAGCTGTCCTGTAATCAGAGCTATAAAACAATTGCCTTGTTCATGGATGTGCTGGCTCCTTAACTCAGTGCCGATATGTAGGCCCCATCTGGTCACTGTAATGGACTGTCAGACTCAGAGCAGACACCATATTCTCCCTCCAGAACTCTGGCCAGAATGCCTGTGTTTCCAATTCCAAGGGAAATTAAAAAGATTATTCAATGCTCCGTATGTGCACATTAAAGTAATAAATAGAGTAAGAAGAAGCAATGGCCATTCCATTGGTTATCACTAGTCACCAAATTCCAATATACAATAGACTCCTTAAGAAGCTAATGGACTATAGCAGTATAACTTGAAAATGTACAAGAAAGACTTCGAAAGAAGAGATGATCAAGGCCTGAACGCAGGCCATAGGCTCAAGTTATGAAAAATGAAAACCAGCAGACAAACAAAACTCTCAGAGCATCTCAAGTAGACATTGCCAACCAAGAAGAACCAGTCAGAGAAAGAACAAACAGAACAATGAGGGACATTCCCAGGTGAAAGAAAGTTCCCAATGGGAGGCAGAACTCCGCTCATTTACCTATTTGCTGCCAGTAACCGAAAGATCCCGTAAAAATGTATTTCCCGTGGGCAAGGCCAAAAAATGTACAGATTGCCCTGTCTGAGAGCACCTGGCCAGAAACCGAAAAATGGACCCAGATTGAACAGCGCTGGGTCTGCCCCATAGGAACGGTTTGGGTTTCTTACCGGATTGTAGCGAATAGGCAGATCAGTGAGTTCCAGAAATACTTAGTTGGAAAAGCCGCAAGTTGAGTTCCGGCATCTCAGGCTGTTGTAGGCAGGAGGGAGTGCCAGGAAAAGCGGAGATGGAAGTGGATTATAAGGTTACCCTTAGCCTAACATGCACCCGCCAGCAGGTCGCAGAAGGTATAAGGGCAGAGCCTTTCCACGTCCAGGCGCCAAAATGTTATTCTTTTGTTTAAAAAGAAGAAAAGAGAAATATTGAGATGGACATAATTGACTATAAGTTTATTATAAGGGCCGGTAGAATGGGGAGACTAAGAAGAGGAACAGGGTAAATGGCTGACCGCCATGGCCGGTCGCCATAAAGCTGGTATTCTACTCCTAATTATCATAGGCCAGAACCTGAACAGTTTTGGGATTGACCTGACTTGGGTGATGGGAATTAAAGAATCTACAGGCATACCTGCAGAAAATCAGAGGTTGGGTGGGCTGTACACTCTGATGGAAATGTAACAACAGCCTGGAAACTAGGTACATTCATTATATACAGCTGAGTGGGAAGCAGGCTAACAATTATAGTAGTGGTCTCTGTAGGGAAGTTGTCTCAGAATACAGTCCTATGGGAGGAGGAAGCTATGGTTGATATTTGCTGCATATACTTGTCAACATAAGTATTCTAATCAGGGAAAGGTCATGATATTAAAGGCTGAGGCATCGGGGTCCTTGACATGTCAGTGCTCATGCCAAAACTACATATTCACTAGAGAGAATATCTGCTGCACAGTCATGGATATTGTGGGTTTGATATATTCAGTACTGAACCTTCTCTTCCAAAGGTTATTCTAACTGCATAGAAGTCCATTGAGTTGTAAAGAAGTAAGATACGGTTGATTTGGGTGTGTGGTGCTTCTTATTTATTTGAATGATTTTTTTTAAATAAAGTTGATAAAAGTTTTAGAAGTTAAAAAGGAAGAAATGGAAAATACAAACAGTATTCCTTGCAGATGTTTTAGGAATGAATAGACAATAGTAATTGGGCCATAAGTGAAACATAACCAAAACATTAGTGTGTTTCTTAGAATTTATTTAATTTCTTGTCAGTGTTCTTCTCTCTTTCTTACAACACAAACTTTTGATGATCTACTACTGTATTCTTCTCCTCTTCCACGTGCTGCAGCTATTGTAGAGAATAAATAAGTCAGGGTGGCTGTTTGCACGCTGCATCTGATGTATGAGAAAGAAAAGAAAATAAATACTTTTGAATTGTTGTACTTAATGCTCAAATCTTTTATCACATCTCATTAGCTTAACATTTTCCAACTTTGTTATAATCAATCAAACATTTGCAGCCTACCTCTTGATAGAAATGTCTGCTGTCTCTGGGGGTTCTGAATTGTCTTTAATTAAGTTTTATGAACACATTGCAACTTCCTCTCTGGTGTCCTGTTCAGTCTTTTGGTATCTCTGAATTAGGCCAAAGGACATTGGACCAACCTCTTGCTTGCTAACTTGAGTCAATTAAAGTGCCTCTTAAAGTTGAAACAAAGAGAAGATATAATTAGGATTTCCTTTGGATGTTGTTATAAGGACTTATCATTGTTTGAATGTTTATGTAATTTCTCTAATGTTGACTACTTAAAAACAAATTGTGTGAAATTTTCACCTTAGTAAATGACAACTGTAAGTGAATTATCTGAGTTTTAAATAAAGGACACTAATGAGTCTCATAATTTATGAATGAAGCAATAATTGTAGTATTTTCTTGGTAAGTTCCTTGACTATTTTCAAATTTTAGAAAAAAAACTAAAACTACTCTTATGAAGTCACACATATACAGGTAAAGTATGGGTCATATTTTCAAATTCATGTGTGAAACCATTAGCTCTCTCTCTTTAAAATATATTTTAAGTTTCATTTTATAGCTTATGAGTGGATATAAAGAGATATAGAAGATAATTTTCCTTTAATAAAAATGATCTTTCTTCATGCTGGCAATGTGAAATAGAAACTAGGCAAATATTTTACACATTGATATTTGAAACCTCCTAAATAGCATGAAAAATTCTTTCAAATGATTGATTAAGAAATATTGTGATGGCTACATAGACATAGTGACTTATGATGGTTAAATCAGTATATTAGAGAATATGTGTACTGTTTTATGGTTGTTTTAAAATGTTAGCTTCCATAAGTCAAGACTCTTTATAAATTTACTTGCTTCTGTTTGCTACTTTCTATTGTCAAATAAATGTATAAGAATTACCACTTGAGTTAAAACTACCTTTGCTACATAACTGTTAAGATTCTCAGATTTGGTGACATAAAATTTGGATCAGATTATCATGATCTTGTGCCTTTTATGTTTTATTTCATTGCTATGTGATTAAGCTTTCTTGATGAAAATGAAGACAGGAAGTATGTCTATTTTTAGGGGGACTGTGATATTTAAATAAGATATCATTCTAAAACACTGGCTTTTTGCCAGATGTGTCTGAGTTCCATGCATGCTAAATGTGTTGAACAAATGACTGGCCCATGGCTTGGAGTAACAACCTGTGAGAGTGACTAAGAGTTGTTTCTACCATCGCAACACATATTTCTATAATGCACCACAACTTAGACAAACACAGAAAAAACATGATGAATGCAACACATGCTAACTCAAAATTCTCTTGAGATTACAATAAGACCATACATCCCATTGAAGACAACATTTTTTCTGCATACAATAAAATCAAGAAAGTTAATAAAAATGAATGGCCTTCACAGTTTTCACTCAGAAAATTTTACACAAGGGTTTTGGAAAATATTTCTATCTGGACTACCATGCCTTAGTTGATGTTTATTCTTCAGTATTACTTATTCCCATTTCTAATCAGATGTTTTGAATTTGCCTATTCTAATTTACCTTCAAATGCTCTTTCAGATTTATTGGCCTGCTGCTAAGGAAAGAGTGGAACTGTGTAAATTAGCTGGAAAAGATGCCAATGTAAGTATGAACTTTTAAAATTACCTCCTCAAATTGGATACTAACAGTCTAGTAAATTTTTATATTCACTTTTGTCAAATAATAACATTAGTATGCTACTTTTACTTAAACTAACACTCCTGATTACACACCTGCAACCCCAACATTTGAAAGTAGAAGAAGGAAAATCAGGAGTTCAAGGCTAGCCTCTGTAATACAGTGTATTATACAGTAATCTGCACTACATAAAACCTGACCCAAATGATATGACAGTCTTTGAAGATTCCCCAATGGAAGGCCTCACACTCCCTGGGGAGCAGAAAGGGGATGGGATAGGACATTGGTGGAGGACAGAGGAGGAGGGGAGGTGGGAGGGGAAAGAAACTGGGATTGATATGTAAAACAAACTTGTTTCTAGTTTAAATAAAAAAACAACAAATAAAACCCTATTGGAAAAATTCAGTAACAGCAACAAAAGAAAGATTAAAATCTGATATAAAATATTCCCACCTCACAAAAAGCAACACTAATTTTTACAATAGCCCAAAGATAGTATAATAATATACTCTAACATAATAATTCTCAATGTTGTTATTTTCTTCAGAAAACTAGATTAGAAACAAATCAATATATTCAAATATAAACCACCAGAAAAACTTGTATTTCTGTGAATCTAATCTTTACATTTGTGTGTATTTGTTTTGTAAATGTCAACACAATCATCACTTAGCAACATAAATGTGCAACAGACATTTTCTTTTATTCCAGTTAAGGTTGAATTTTCAGCACATATATAATTTATTTTAAGTGGTGACATGGAAATGGCAAGAATGTGCTGAGAAGGAAAGGTAAAGGATTCTGGCATAAGAATTACAAGCAACTTACTCTAAAATTTAGCAATTGCACAAAATTACTCAAAGTATATACATGTGGTATTAATAGATAATTCTAGAGTGATATGATGGCTATTGGCTCACTACAGGTCTGTGGCAGAAAGATTGCCACAAGTTCAAGAGCAGCCTGGGGTACAGAATGTATTCCTTCTCCAAAAATGAAACATGCAAATGGAAAATTCAGGGTTGAACTGCCATAGAGACCATTGCAGGTCTTCAGTCAGGTAAACCAAACTGTTTGTGTTTGCTAAGCTCTGCCTGGATTACTTAGGCAGTGTGTGGCTTGTACTGCAGGCATCCTTTCACTGCCTCCTTCTTCATCCACATGCTCTGATCAAACTAGGTATTCTGTGTTAAGTCCTGACTTAGGGCCCTGTCTTGATGGAGGGAAACATTCTTTTTTAACAAAATCCACATATCTTGTACTTCACTGAAGAGAACAGAGGTCCCATTCTTGAACCAAAATGTGAGTATCTTGTGGTTTCTTTTTTGCAAAATCTCCTAACAGCAATAATACTGAGTGTTAAGCTGTGCATTGGTTTCATATTTAAAAATGACAAATAATGTCTTTTATGTGAAAGCATAATTAGATTAAAAGTAAAGATGATTAAAGTACAGCAGTATAGCACAAGGTATAAAATGCACTGAGAAACTGAAAAGACTAAGAACCTGAATTGAGCTGGCTTACTCGGTTATTCATCATTCATTTATTTATCCAGTAAGGAGAGCTAGGTGGCCTGAATAAGTCAAATAGGGTGCTGCTTCCTAAATTTACCATTACTTGGAACCTGGCAATAGGAGTATTAGAAATTGGTGGCCAGCCTAACATGCTTAGTAAGACCCTATCTCAAAGAAAAAAATAAAGTTTAGTGGCAGAGCACTTGTCTAGTATGTGTGAGGATCTAGCTTTAATCACACAGACTATTAAAAATAAAATAAAGCAATAAAACAAAACTATAGAGCCAATATGTATATAACACATAAGTTAACATAAGTCTGTCCTCCATGACAATTGTTTCCAACACAGGACAGAGGTCTGAACCACATTATCACCTTTATGTATAAAGTGTCCAAACCATAATAATCTAAACAAAACCAATTAAATATGTAATCATATCTAATTTTATATCCCATTACATCAAATGTAATCCCTTTGAAGCACAGTTGAGTTAGCAGAAGTATGTTAGGAAATGAGAGCATCAAATGCATTAGGAGAGAGTTTACACTGATTGTACTAGAAAAGAAAGGGATTACACTCTTCTGGATATATTCCTCTTCCTCCTGTTCAATATCTCCACACTGATAAATTGTCCATAGATGAAGAAATAATGCAGGTGTTCATTGAACTTGTGAGGATAGAGTAATTTGGTTATAACAGTTTTCAAAATTATTGTCCAGTAAGCAATAGTGACATGACAGAACCACTGTGAATAATTTTATGTTTTGTGAGCCATCTATATTGCATATTTGATGAAGAAGTAAGGAAGGAAAGTTGTCTTAGGTTTACTGCAATAAGCTACTGTCATTTTTCCCAAGAGTTAGAGGAGGGGTTAACTATGAATGTCAGGAAGTGGAGTTTTGGATTGGGAGAGGGTTCTCACTTCTGTCTGTTCAGGAAGTTACACAGTTCTAACTTCAATGCCTTTCTTGTTCAGTTAAGGCAAGTGGTGATTAATTTGTCTAGACGTACCATCCTTGAGCCCAATATTTGTGAGTAGTAATCTCTTTTAACTTTTTTTAAGGATGTCTACTGCTAACTATGGATTTGAGATACAGAGAGCTTTTCCATTTTTAACAAAGGTCTATAAAATTTGATGTTGCATCAAAAAGGCAAGAAGGGTTGTCTCCTTACTTTCAGTGTATCCTTTTGGAAGAGTGTTCCATTTTAAAGCTGTTGTTAAATGCCACTTTGGTTATCTTTTTTAAAGAACTATTTCCCATGCCTTATAGTTATAATTTCACTTAATCCCCATTTTCTTGGAGAAAACTAAACCCAGAAAAAAAAAAACAAAAAAAACAAATGGCTTACTCAGTATCACAGACCTTTTCAATGGTGAAGCAAGAAACTGAAGCCTGAAATCTGGGCACATCCTCCCAACACTATAAAGTCTACATAATACATCAACACACTTTTTTTTACAATTCATTTTTCTATTTGCTATCGCCATAACACTGATGCTCATTTTGAAATCATGTTGCATTGATTTTTACTAAGAGAAAGCAGGCAAATCCGTGGTTTTATTGACTTCTTTTCTTGCCTCTATGTGACTTCATTTTCTCTCTTTCTAGTAATTTTTACCCACTTCCAAAGCATATGTTCATAATTAACAAGTGTTTAGAAAGACTGTTCATTTACGAAAAGGCACTATATAACTGCAAAGTAGTGAATTATTTACCGTAACTAAAGTTAACTAATTAGGATGGAAGTGAATGGAAGGCAGAGGGAGTGGGAACTATTATGCTCCCTTAAATAGTCCTCCAGTTTAATCCAAGGAAGTGAAGGAAGGCAAGAAAAGCTGGTATCATTTTGGTTTTGTATTGAAGAAGGTTGTTAAGAGAAAGACACAATGGGAATGATTCAGTTTTGTCAATAAATCTTGAATTAAACTGCTTGGTATAGCCAAAAGAAAGCAAAAGATGAGGTTAGCCTGAGCTATCTGATAGTTTAGGCACAGAGGTGACAGCCTTAACAGTGACTCGTCACTGAGAGAAAAAGCATATTCCTGCTACAAAATTCTACAATTATAAACTCCTCTATTTTTACTTTTTAAGTAAGTCTAAACTAAATGTGTTCATTGGAAAAGCTGAATAACTTATATGTGAGACAATAGTCACTTTTAAGTATATCTTTCTCTCCTATAGTCACTAAAAAGGGACAGCAGGTAACGTTGCAATGTGCATTCCTGTAGTTTATTTACTTACTAATTATCAGGATGAAATCACTGTAAACATAGCCTGTCCTAACAGTTTTTGTCACTTCTCAGAGTGCTTTAGCCTTTCCTATGTCACCAACTTTTTCTGATGCCATTTTCAAAAGCACCTCTGCATTCCTTTGCACATCCTTTCATGAATGTCCTAGTATTGGAATCTTGGTTGATTCCCAGTATTTCTTGGGGTTACAAATGATCCTGTATGCGAGAATCCTCATATAAATATTGAGGAGATCATTGCCTACTGAGTAGTCTTTTACTAGTCAAGGACTTGAAACTTTTTGTGTCCATGTAGTGAAACTGACCTTTAAGATTCTGATGATACACTCCAAGCAGGAGCCCATAGTTAAAAGATGTATTCACTTGGGGAGAGGTAAAACAAATACAGTCATGGCTAGAAAAAAAGCACTTCTTGTACCAAATTAAAAAAAAAAAAAACTCTCCAGACGAGCTATTTGGAGTAGGAAGCTATAGGTTGGAAGGCAAAGGAAGACGCTGACCCACTGAGCCATCCTGCATTCAGTGTGGGTGTTCCATGGAATTAGGATAGCTCAGAGATTGGAAATGTAAACTCCATGATGGGCAATCCAGGCTTCACCACTGTCATACCCTGGGATCATAGAGTAGTTATTAACTTACCAAGGAGAATAATAAGATCCACCTTGCTGCCCCATAAGGTTGTTGTGTGATGTGTCACTGGGTAAACACATAAAGTATATGGAAATTTGTTCAGCACAATGGATGTTCTCAATAAATGCTGGAGTTGTGAAAAAAATGATGTATTTTTCTGTGTCCTAGCTACTGATGGATACAGCATACAGTGAATATACAGTGTGCATGCATGGAAGTGTAAAATAAATATATTCAACTGTTGCTAACAAAAGGAAAAACAATGTATTTTAGCTTGAAATTCTTTAATTGCTATAAGTACTACGTATTTTTATAATTGTAAGATTACTTCTTTTAATGGCTCATCATTGCAGTCCCTTGTATCTTGTTGATTGCCATTTTTACTGATTATTTACAGATTTATAAACATAGACATGTATGTGTTTATGTTATTGACAAGCACTTATATGACATATATTTTCCCTCATAGAAAATTATCCACTTGTCTTAGGGTTTTATTGTTGCGAATAGAGACACCACGACCATGGCAATTCTTATAAATAAAAACATTTAATTGGGTTAACTTACAGTTTCAGACGTTCACTCCATTGTCATCATGTAAAATATGGCAGCATACAAAAAGACAGGGTACTAGAGAAGTAGTTGAGAGTTTTACATCTTGATCTACAAGCAGAAGAAGGACCCTATGCATCACTGGGCATGGCTTGAGCATACATAAGTCCTTTAAGCCTGTCCTCACAGTGACATTTTTCCTCCAACAAGGCCATACCTACTCCAACAAGATGGCACTTCCTAATAGTGTTACTTTCTATGGGCCAGACATTCAAACACATGAGTGCACAGGGGTCATTCTTATTCAGACCACCCATTGTCTTGAGGACTAGATTGTAAATACTGAAATAGGCATATCAGTCATTTTCCCTTTAAAATATTTTCCTTTGCTCTTTTACTGTAACAGATTCTTTTCTTAATACATACTTGCACTAATAGATTTTGTTTTTAAACAAAATTGTGTACTTGTATTTAGATATATTCATTTTGTAGGAATTTACTTAAACATTTTGAATAATTTAAGGCAAAGCAGTTTTCTGCATACAGGGTTGCATCTGAGGAATTCATCTGGGAAATGATCACAAGAAAGTAGGAGAGCAACAGCACATGTGGTTGTCCCTGCTTTTAATCTCCACACTTAGGAAGTTGCTGTAGGATACTCTGTAAACCAAGGCCAGCCTCAGCCACATGGCAAGTTCAAGGCCAGCCTGAGGTACATATAGCTTAGTCTCAAACTGGAAAAAAAAAAAAAAAGCATATTAGCAAACCACTTAAGGAAAACAACCAAAAAGTAAGCATTATCACAATATTTTGCAAAATACTTTCAAAGATAAAACCAGAACTTATGTATCTGGGGAAATACTCAGTGTACAACATTTATGTAACATGCTCAAGCCCTTCCTCTCTTTGGGTTCAGTTCTCAGCATTGGCAAAACAAAGATAAATACATCAAGGGCTTCTCAATCATGAGCCTCTTCCCATAGTTCATACAAATGACTCAACTTAGCATTTGTAAGTTGTCAGATTACACATTAAGTTTTGCTGCATTTAATTTGGGGGTCAAAAGTCTAAGTACCTCTGGCTTGCTGTTATCTGTTTAGTTACCTGAGTAGAAAACAATATTTTACATTTTCATTCATGGTCTCATCTGTAAATATTAATTTAACATTACATTTATCTAACTCTTAAGAATATGGCTGCATATGAGGTACAAAATGCTGAAAGTTATCATATTACTTGAAAGAATTAGGAAGTTCCCACTAGACTGATGAGTCTGCCCGGTGGGTAAAGTGCTTTGTGACAAGCCAGAGGGAGGACCTAAATTCATTCCCAGACACTTCCATGATGAGATAAGAGAACAGACCAATGATCTGGCCTCTGACCAATGCACATGCACTTCTACCAGAGAAATGCATGTTCATATCAGCACATTACACACAAATGGATAGAATAAATAAGTATAAAAGCAATAAAATAATAATAATAATAAATAATAATAATAATAATAATAAATAATAACAATTTGAAACTGTTTCTTGTTTGGACAACACCATACACACTTTCTAGTAGGAGCAGTGTGGTTTGAGTGAAAAAAAATTAGATGAAAAGAATAAAAATAACAGGAGAGATCCAATGCTTTTCCAACCTGTACCGTCAGCATCAGCTGCCATTGTGAACTGATGAGTGAGCCAGTTCAGGGAAAGTTTAAAACGCTGCTTCTCAAAGTTATCTTTCTTCATGCCCCAGAGAATTGTGCCACCATCAATAGCCAAGCAAGTCACTGAGTGAATTAAACCAAGTTAATTATTGATCATGCCACTTAAACAAAACTTTGAAACTTTGTGTGTAAAAAGAAAGTATCACATAATCTCTGAGATTTAAAAACATAAAGACATGAATTAAAAGGCCATTGTAAAGTACAAGTGCTGTTTGCCTTAATTGTCTGCTCTGGGCAAAATGCAAAGTCATAGATCTTATCTTTTTATAATCTAATCACATCTTTCCTTCCCTTTGGCAACGAATGCAGCTCCTTAGGGAACTGCCCTCTACCAACACCCCCAACAACACTTAAGGGATGACATTTTCTGACCTGTAAGGTAATTCAGAACTGGCACATACTATGTTTTATTTCATGTCAGCCTAGCTGGAAAGTTAATCCTAAAATGATTCCGAGAAAAGGTAATGATAGGGAATAGTCTAGATATGATTCTGGTTTTTTCATTTTGTTTTTGTTCTGTAATCATTAAAACATCACATACATATCTTAAACTTCATGCTGGCTCCTACTTGTCCTTTTTAACAATGCTGCCTCACATAGACCCTTATCATCCAGATTTTATAGTGTATACTTGGAAGGGGAGTTGTCTTATTGATTTATGCAAGCATTTCTTTAAGACCCTTCAAAACTGCCGTCTAAATTCTATCTCTATGTGGAAAAATGAGCCATTTGATAAAGCGATTAAATAACTGGCAGTGAGGGAACTCTGCCTAATTCTAGTCATACTGGCATGTCAGGTACAAGCCACAACTGCCACTTTTTCCTTTTGTATTTAAGATTTATTTATTTTTGTTTTATGTGTACGTATGTGTTTCTGCTTTTCTGTATGTACACTGTATGTGTGCAATTTTCTATGGCAATGAGAAGAGGGAGTTACAGGGCGTGGTTGATTTCTGTGGAAATGTAGGGTTAGAGACACATGGAATTCTGGCATTCAAGAGGTGGGACCGTTTATTAACACACAAAACAAAATGTGCCTCTCTCACACAGAAATTGAAGTGTTTGCCAGGAGTAAAATCTAGTTGTGACCATATGTAGGGATGGGTGAGGGGCTTACGAATGGGCAAATTGTTGCAACCTTAAGCCTATGTGTCTCTCCTGAAGCGAATCATTTGTCTAAAACAGGAGAGACTATCTTTTCTTGGATGAAGGATAAGAGTTGAGGAAGGGCAAGGCAATCTGAAATCTTTGTCTGAATCCTGTTTTATAACTGTGGCACTCTATCAGTGTGAGCCATGGGTTCTGGAAACATTTTCTGTCATCAGGACCTCCCATTGCCCAAGAGTGATCATACTTTATTGGTGGGGTCTCTGGCAAATCAGGAATGGGGAATTTGCACTTTTCCTAAGTTCTTAATTTTAATTGAGCATTTGCCTACCTTGAGTACAGGATAAGTGTCTAGAGTAGATGTGAAACATTCTGTGGGTCTGTGGGGTCATTAATCATGCATCCACAATTGAGCAAGTGTTTCCATCTAGGCATGGTATTTTACAGTTCTAATCCCAGAACTTGGCAGTCCATTGCTGGCTGGGGGCTACTCTGAATTTTAGGGGAGCCTTATTGAATTCCTGGCTGGCTCAGCTACACAGTGACATTACCACTCTTAAATTAAAGTTGCTTCCAACAATTTTGTAGAAGTAAAGTAGGAAATTGTAATATAATCTATAATGACCTGAATGAATATTCTAAAATATTCTTTATAAGAAGTGCCATATGCTAGAAAATCAATTATAGAAAACAATCCCAAAGATATTGAAAATGTAAAGAATTTTTTAGATGTAAGCATGTGCAAAATAAGAATGTGAGTCTTCACTAGTTTTCTGGAATAAAAATGTTCCTTAGAAAAATTGAGGAAAGAACCAGCATAGAGGAATCTGTTTGAAAGGCTTTTGGTTTTCTAGAACTCGGGGGGACTCTAAGGCAGGAACGCAGATGGATGTAGGAAACACACATATGGCTAGTGTTTTGCTTGGTGGACTTTGGACAGTTGGAATTGTAGACAGTAGGACCTCTAGGGGCCGGGCTGTGTTCACATCAGAGTAAGAGAGATTTCGTGCTCCATGATAATTTGTGTCTTTCCCATTCTGTGTATATTTATTCTCTGGGCCTCCCTGAATACAACCCTAAAGCTTTCTGTACTATCACTTTAACTAGCTGCAAAAGTATAATTTCAAGAAGTTTTAAAATCACTCTTTACCCACAATTTCTGTATGTGCTTTTCATTTTTTAGGTCAACTGTTCAAACCTTTTAAATTAACCTTTCTGTATTTTCTTTATTTTAGATAATTGATGCATTCCCAAAACAAAGAAAATGAAGCATTGTCTTTTAGCCATATACTAATGCTTTTCACTTTTATACCCAATAGACAGAATGTGCAAATTTCATCCGAGTTCTTCAACCCTATAATAAGACTCATGCTTATGTGTGTGGAACTGGAGCATTTCATCCACTATGTGGATATATTGATCTTGGAGTCAACAAGGAGGTAATGAAACATTAGAAAATATAATTTACTATACCTATATATACCTATACTACAAAATGTACAAGTTTGAGTAAACATATCTTATGAGCAACATAAGAATTCATGTTTATAAACATTTTACATATATGTTTACAAATTACAGTTATTTAAAAACACATTTCACATATTTGATCTTAGAATGGTATTATATATTATTAATGATTTCATTTTGTTCTTGATATATGTGTTAACTGATATATGTGTTAACAACAGTGGACTATAAGTAACTACAACTTCAATAGTTTTCTTGACTCTATGTAGATATTCACTCACATGGAAATCATTGGGTTCTCTGTGCTAAACTCGTGGACAGAAGTTAAGGATTTATTAGTTAAGATTAATTTATCCCAGATATCAATGAGCATTTCTAATAAATGAGAAACATGCAGATTTCAGAATTTTAGCTAAAATGAATTTTTCAAGTACTCTGTGTCATAGATTGTCATGTGCCTTGCATGCACTTTGCCCTTCTTTGGAATTTCACAAACACTGAGGTTGGTACCACCGTAATCCCTAATAAATACAATAGTAAAAATGATTTTTGTTGGTGTAGCATAAACAATTCAGGAATGAGCTCAACCAAGGCAGTGTCTGTCTGAAACCAGCATGACCAGATGAGCTTTAGCCATGTACTCTATACTGCTTCTTTGTAGACACTCTCCTCATGTTTATGCATGTATTTCCTGTGAAGAACCATACATATTTGCAGTCCTGGCCTGGGCTTATGAAAACGTTTTTTATGTTAATTTAATGGATGCATGTGGAGATCAAACCTTAGACTGTGGTCAGACAGAATTTCCTCTCTACCCAACTCATCTAACCCGCTTGACTCAATTGCTTGACTCAATTGCTGATAGTTAAATTCTGAACCTCTCAGAGATTTGGCAACTGAATCCATCATTCTTTGTTGCTGGTGTAATGCTGTCCTGCCTAGCTATGATGAAGGGCAATATATAACAGTAGCACAGGGTATAATTACATGAGCACTGCACAGCTTGTGTGTGTATTTAGGCCTGAGGCTATAAGCCAAACTCACAACCTGCCCAGGAAGAAAACAGTGTTTTCTAACACTTAAAAGTCAAGCTCCTTAAAAGGAAATTTTGATGTAGCTGGTTACTTAGCTTGGCATATATCAAAAGAGTCAGGGGGTCAAATTACAAGTTTTCAGAATAAGGAAATTATGAGAGCACAGGGATAGTGAGACTTGGTACTTTCAGCTGACCTGGAGAGCACGAACCTGCTTTATCATGGCTCTGATTTTATGTATCGTATCTCTAACTTGAAGACATTTTATTTCTAGAAGTTTACAGACCCTTTCTGTTTCAAGTAGAGAAACTTACTTGGAAAGAGAAGGATAAGAGGGAACACTGTATGCAAAGAGGTGGAGGAAGACACCTACTGTGGTCAGCCAGTCAGCCGTGTTGGGCACAAAGAGAGGATTAAACAGGAAAGCTGAAATGAACCCCAGGGAGTTGGCAGGGAGTTAGAAGGTGACACTATTTAGTGGTAGTGACAAGCTTGTAGGGAAAGTGGCAATTGGCACATACTGCATTTGGCCATGGAGCTCCAAGGAGGTCACTGGGATCTAAACTCAGAAGGGAGGTCACGGTGGCTGTCAACAGCTTCCAAGAGCATTTCCAAGGGTCAAGTTTGCCATCTCCATGACATTGTGCACATGGTATAAACTTTCTAAGCTTTTGTTTATTCAGTGATAACAAGAAGAGCAAGTGCATATAGAGTTATTTTCAGTCTCAACTAAAGCAGTTATTGACAACATGATCCCCATGCATATGATCTCACAGAGACTTGGGAAGCCCAGGCCTGCAGGCATCTGCATCACAAGGGGGCCTAGAACTGAAAGGAGAAGTGGACATGTGCCTCCATCCCTAACTCAGAAGCTATCTCCAACTGAATAACCACTTGCAAATGAGACTCCAAGGGAGTCTCACTGGGAAAACAAACTACTCCTAAGGATATGCCTCATGCCCAGCAGTAGATGCCAGCAGAAAATGAACTCAACAGTTGGAGTTTCCTTGTCTCATACTGTCATGTCAGGGTCTTTTCTTAAAAATAAAAGCTATGATTTTTATTGTTATGTAAATTATATGTGTGATATATATAAAATAATACGCATGTGTATATCATAGCATATATAGTACACAAAATTATATTAATGCTCTGTAACTTTGAGAATGTTTTAATGACTAATAAGTGCATGATGAGCATGGCAGTGCACACCTATAATTTCAGTAGTTGGGAGGTGGAGGTGGGAAGGTCAGAGGGCACAGCATTAAAGATAGTCAGGACTGCATATGTAGCTCAATGCTAGCCTGGACTGGGTGAGACCAGCTTCAACTTTAAAAAAGGAAGGAAGGAAGGAAGGAAGGAAGGAAGGAAGGAAGGAAGGAAGGAAGGAAGGAAGATGAAAGAAAGAAAGAAAGAAAAGAAAGAAAGAAAGAAGAAAGAAAGAAAGAAAGAAAGAAAGGAAGGAAGGAAGGAAGGAAGGAAGGAAGAAAGAAAGAAAGAAAGAAAGAAAGAAAGAAAGAAAGAAAGAAAGGAAGTTTTTTTTTTTAATCTTTTATTTCATTTTAAGGTGTGTGTGTGTGTGTGTGTGTGTGTGTGTGTGCGAGTGCACGCCTGCACACACATTATTTATGTGCCTTGGAGCATTTGTGGAAGTCAAAGGTCAGCTTTACGGGAAGGGCTGTTTCTTTCCATTAAGTCCTGAGGGTGGCATTCCTGTCAGCTTTGCAGCATTTGTGACATTGAGCCATCCTGACCACTGAGTCATCTTCCAGCATCTAACAATATTTCTGTATGTGCTGTCCAAAGAGGTACACGTTAGTAATTAATTAAACTAAAGTGATTATATGAAGCATATCCTACAACATGCAGTTTACAAACTTAAAGAGTCTCCTGTGTCTTGGGAAACACATTAAATCATCAGTTAATTTCATTTTCTTTCCCTGGCACTGATTGGGAAAGACTTGCTCTCTTGCTGTGTCCTTCTCCAAGAGTTTACAGGAAAGTTTTTGTCCTCAAGTCCCATAAATCCAAAGACTGTGACTTCTCTTTGCAATTTAATAGTGTTGTATTTAAAAACAAAAGTCTATGCAATTGTCAGTGTATCTAGTAATATTTTTCTAGATTTTCCTAGGAGTACACACACACACACACACTCAGAGGGGTGGGGTGGGAGTTCTGTTTCCCTTTCTAGTATCCCATTTAATGTCTTATCGTCCACAGGTTTGTTTATCAGTGGCAAATAGTGTGCTTTCATTGACTAGTAAACATCTGTGACAGCCACAACATAGAGTCCTCCCCCTGCCCTGCCCCAGTCACTCCCCAGTCACAGTTGGGAAGCCTAAGTGCATTCTTGTTGGGTCTTTTCCTGCTTCTAGGGTCCACTATCTTTTTCCTTGGATGACCCCAATTAAGTTAAAGGCTTTTGGGTCTGATCATGTCACATAATCATATGAAGACTACACATCCAGTCCATTTTTAAATCCATGAGCCTGGAATTCTGAGACTGTATTAGTTACTAGCCATAGCTGTGTGACACTGAGCCCAGTTCATAGCCCTTCTGCCCTTACAGTTTCCCATGCAAAGCTAGATTTATTAATGAGATTACACTGCATATTTGGGGAGAGAATTCAGTAGACAATATGAGTCAGTACCTGTTGGCTCACTAATACCCTTTTCAACTACTAGGTATCATTATTTACATTTAAAAACATGTCTGTTTTTTAATTTATGGAATAACAGTTGCTAACCAGCTTCATTTCAATTGCTGTTGCTATTTTTTTAGTGAGACAGTAGTTATGATTTGCCTTGTCTAAAAGAGGAAAAAATCTCAAAAATGATGACAACATAATTCAGAAATTAACCTGGTGTTTTCTGTCCCTTTTGCTTCACTGCTTGCTTTCCATGTCATAGCAGTGTGTGGCTCTTTCTTGATGTAAGAGTAATCTGTTATAACAAAGATAAGCTGTCCAGAATGCCTGCAGTGTGGGCTTTTTTTCCCCAATGACATTGGCTGAGTCGTCTCCCTAGATGCTGGAAGGTGGTGTTGTCCTTGTTATGAGACACTGGGGATCATGGGATTGTGTTCATTATTCATGCATATTTTTCTTGGAAAGTTCTATGTAAGAAGATTTTCCTCTGAATATCAAAAGTCTGCCAATGTCATTCTGTCTGTGGCCACTATTATAAAAATAGATGTTCCTGCCAAAATAACTATGTGTCTTCCATGTGCAGTGTTTTCATAACAGTGAAAATATTACAACAGACTTTTTTTTCCCTTCACATGCATCAACATCTCTGAAAATTCACTGCCTATTTGCGAACACTTGTATGTCATTAAGCATTTTTAAAAGTCACCAGTCTTAGAGAATTCAGTGTAATAAAAAATGCTTACTTTCAAAAATAATGATTACCATTCCAAAATGCAAATATTACATAGCAAATTCTTGGTTATTTGCTTTTTATTTTGAGACAAGTTAGTTTTATTTTGTTCTGAGACAGAGTATTACAAAATTAACTGTGTATCAAAAGAAGGCCCATACCTCCTGATTTTCCTACTGCTGCTTACCAGGTAACAGTCTCACAAGTCTGCACTACCATGTCAGAAAACAAATTTATTTCATATATAGCCACATAAAGCTCTATAATCTCTGTGCTTCCTGCTGGAATATCCAAAGTAGAGACAAGAGTATACTCAGAAGCCCATGACCCACACTCTGTCCCAAATAAGATAAGGACATTTAAATAGTGAGAGAAATTCTGTTATCATTAGTCTAAGTAAATGATTAAACCTGTGCTGGGGGTATGGCTCAGTTGGTTAAGTGCTTGTTGTGAGAGCATGAAGACCTAACATCGGATCACTAGAACCTACATTCACACAAATGCTGCATACATCTCTAATCCCAGCACTGACAGTATGGAGACATATAGTTCCTGAGCTTGCTGGCCAGCCGCATTAGCCAAATTGGTTAGCTCCAGGTTCAATGTGAAACCCTGTACCCCAAAATAAGGTGGAACACAACTAAGGAAGACACCTGACACCATGTCTGCCCTCCACATTTATGACTTACACAAGTGTGCAAGGGTCTTCACGAATATGTGCACACACATGCTAATAGAGACCCATACATACACAACCTGAACTCTTATTGAACCTCTTTGGGAAGAAGAAACAAAACTCTGCATGGAGTCTTGCAAGATGCAATGGTGCCTAAAGAGTTAAGTCACAGAACGATACGTGTGCTGTGTGCTTGGTTCATTTTTATCGAGTTAATGAATGGGAACCCATTCTTATCTGCTCTGTTCTTGCTGACTGTGATCCATTTAAAAATGTCATTGTGTTTCTTACCACAGGAACTCATATTTAAACTAGACATGCACAGCTTGGAGTCTGGCAGGCTGAAATGTCCCTTTGATCCTCAGCAGCCTTTTGCTTCAGTAATGACAGGTAAGATCAGGGCAAACAAGTCTTAAGTCTAAGCGATTTCTGCAAAAGCCCTGTGTAGACTAAACCACATTTTCTGACTGAATTGAAGATAATTTTGGATTAGCCCTTCCCCACATGTTGGTGCCAGTCTCTCTGTATGAACATCAGCATCCGTGAAGTGAATGAGGTGACAGCACTCCTTCATGTCTGCACAGAGGATTTTTAAACAAATGTCTGACTGAACTCATTCTAAGGCAAATAGCATGCTTCTTTGTTCCAAAAAAAAAAAAAAAAAAAAAAAAAAAAAAAAAAAAACTTTTTATTT